AAAATGTTAACAGTAGTCTGCATATGTATCTTGATGTTTTACGTTGTGAAAAAAAAACTAGCACAAACCAGAAGAAACAGTTGTTAACCGATAAAAAAATCTCATAAAACCATTAAGAACAAATCACGGTAAAAATAATTTTTAAAAGGAAGTAGATAATCGTTTGAACTCAAAAATGGAGAGAAACCGGATGCATTGAAATAGGCGTCTCCTGGTATGCATGCATCACCTAACATGCAAATATCACTATCGGAAAGAGGACTTATTTGGTAAATGTACTGATCAGACAACTGTTCTGGTATCAAAAAATATCACAATCAGAAAGAGGGCTTATTTGGTAAATGTACTGATCAGACAACTGTTCTGGTATCAAAAAATATCACAATCGGAAAGAGGACTTATTTGGTAAATGTACTGATCAGACAACTGTTCTGGTATCAAAGAATATCACAATCGGAAAGAGGACTTATTTGGTAAATGTACTGATCAGACAACTGTTCTGGTATCAAAAAATATCACAATCGGAAAGAGGACTTATTTGGTAAATGTACTGATCAGACAACTGTTCTGGTATCAAGAAATATCACAATCGGAAAGAGGACTTATTTTGTAAATGTACTGATCAGACAACTGTTCTGGTATCAAAAAATATCACAATCAGAAAGAGGACTTATTTGGTAAATGTACTGATCAGACAACTGTTCTGGTATAAAAAAATATCACTATCGGAAAGAGGACTTATTTGGTAAATGTACTGATCAGACAACTGTTCTGGTATCAAAAAATATCACTATCGGAAAAAGGACACAACTGGTAAATGTACCTATCACACAACTGTTCTGCTATCAAATAATATCAGCATGCAACGATTCTGTAAGAAAAAAAATCACATTCATAAGTAATCAAATTGACAACGAAAATGTCAGAATGTGAATATATACGTTCGCACTCTTTTAAGTAATTTTTTAGTATTAAAACAACAGAAATAAGTAAAATGGACCTGCTTTGATATGATACTACACTTAAAGTTTTATAAAATGACATTTTGTTCGCTATGGACTTTCCGTATATCGCTAAGTTATCGGAATTCCAATAGAAACTAAACTGTGCACCACTTATTGCGGAACCGTTTCTGTATTGTTATGAATCACAATGTATGTCTAAAAGCAACAAAGACCCATCGAAACAACATTTGATACAAAAGTGTAAAAACACTTTTAGATATTTGGATGATATTTTAGCTTTCAATAATGACGACTTCAGTATGTACACTTAAGAGATTGATTCTGTTGAACTTTTTTTGAATAAAGCTTATATTTACAATGAATACTACCCTTTCCTGGATCTTGATATCTATATCTATAACGGGAAGCTTAATACTAAAATGTACGATAAAGGAGATGATTTTTTATTTCCTACTGTTGATTATCCGTTTTCAGATGGTGACGTTCCCTTGGCACCATCGTATGGTGTTTTTATATCTAAACTTGTTCTATTCGTCGTGTATGTAACAACGTTTTTGATTTTATCGACAGAAATCTCTGTATAACTGAAAATTATAACACCAGGGTTTTCGATATCAAAAGCTTTTACTAAATTCTATCGTCGGTACAAGGACATTATTCGTAAATATAAATCAACGTGCAGAAATCTTATACGTTCAGTTATTTTACATCCCATCTTTTATGGTAATATTCTATACAAAGCGCAACAATGTCATCATTCACACCAAAAGCTAACCAAACCTTCAAACATATTTATTAAACAAGGGATATAGTTACGATACTGTTGTCAAGTCATTATAGATGGAATTTTTTTTAAATAAAATTAATTCACTCGTAGGGTCTTTGCATCAGAAATAAACACATTTATTCTAAAACTAGTTGTTGGCATGATACGGGTTATGTTCTTCTCGTATAATTTATGATGGAATGATACTTAACCCATAACGGGAGGGATAATGGTTGATTTTCATATGATGAAGATATAATCTTTCGATCAGTTTAATTGAAGTCTTGAGCTGGCATCTCAGTAACTGCTGGTAGTCCTCTGTTAATTTATGTTGATCAATTTCATTTTGCTTAGTTTCTGCTGTTACCTATTATAACATCGGACTCATACTTTTACCGTACGTATTGCTGTGTGTTTGTTTATACCACATTGGCTAGATGTATAGTGGGAGGGTTGAGATCACACAAAACATGTTTAACCCCGCCGAACTTTTGCTTCTGTCTCAAGTCAGGTATCCTCTACTCTTTGTTATTTTTGTTTGTGAGTTTTTTAAATTTTGGTTCATTTTTATGATTTGGAGTTTAGAGTGGCGTCCATTTAACTGAACTAGTATACATTATTATTGAGGGGCCAGCTGAAGCCCGCTACCGGGTGCGTGTTTTTCTCGCTGTGTTGAAGACCCATTGGTTCCCATTGGTTCCCTTGGGTATTTTTTGGTCTTTGATCGGGTTCTTGTCTCTTCGACACATTGCCCGTTTCCATTCTCAATTCTATTTTTTTCACAATTTAAATAATTATTAATGTTAAGCCACATTCCAGCAGCGCATGTAAATGACGTTATTCCAGGGGTTGAATTTTCATTGTGATTTTTTCTAATAGATCACTTCTGCTAGCAACTGTTGAACCAAGGGTACAAAAGAAGAAAATTATATCTTATCCCATTAACGGTTTTACGAGTATCGTTATTATTTGGTTTGGTAATAATTTAAGACAGATATGTCCTGCTAATCTAGGCAGCAGTCATGATCCCATTTGTTCAATTGTTTAAATTACCGAATTCGATTTATCATGGAATTTGTACTTGCCATGGTCAACATTACAGGGTAAACAGACACTGCTTTTTCATACCGAGCACCTGAATGTCTTCCTATTGTTTTGTTTTCCTATGAGGAGGATTGCAGTCGTTGGCTAAACCTTTAGTTTATTTTTAATATTTTTGTTGACTGATGTTTGGCTTTTCGTTGCCTTTTTTATTTGGTATTATATGTTTATCACCGACATGATTTTGTTATTGAACTTTTCTCTTTATCGTTTTCATTTTTATATACAGAAGTGTTACAAAAGCTCCCAAAAAATTGTTATGGTTGCAAAGAAATAAAATAACATATGATACACCCTTTTATGAGGTATTATTTGATACTGTCATTTACTGTACAGCAAACGTGTATTCAATCAATCATTTTATAATCCTGGTTACTGAATAGTTGAATAGTCTAAGTTATAATAAAGTAAAGACTTTTTAAATACTCCTGTCCTAAGTCTACAGCCTGTTGTTCAGTGGTTGTCGTTTGTTGGTGTGGTTCATAGATGTTTCTCGTTTCTCGTTTTTTATAGAAATTAGACCGTTGGTTTTCCTGTTTGAATTGTTTTACACTAGTCATTTTGGGGCCCTTTATCGGTTGCTGTTTGGTGTGAGCCATGCTAAGGCTTCGTGTTGAAGGCCGTACTTTGACCTATAATTGTTTACTTTTTATACATTGTGACTTGGATGGAGAGTTGTCTCATTGGCACTCATACCACATCTTCTAATTTTTATCAAATGGTCGTACTGCAATAAAAAATAAGTATTCAAACTTAAGGAAAAAGACTCTTCTGTGAATACTACGTGCAAATTTAATGACATACGCAGAGTGTGTTAATTTTACGAAGCCTTGAAAAAACTGTCAATTATTTGCGATTATCTACCGATGAATTTTGTGTCTGTCAATTGGTCACCAGATAACAGCTAAAATCACCTGAAAATGTTTAAGTAAAAAAATAAAATAAAATGAATAATGCAACCGTCAACGTTATCTTTTGCTATAAAGAACTGACGGATTGATAGAAACGGTAATACGCTTCTGACATATGCAGATGTTCCAACCATTGCAAATAAATGTACTATGAAATTAAATAGACGATGATATCTATCTTTGATTGTTTGGTTCGCAAATCGTACGATTCTATAAAACATATGTCGTCTTGTTTCGGTCTTATTTATCAGTATGGAAGGTATGCATTAGCATGATAAGTGTCTTAGACATACATCATGTAAAATTCTTAACAAATATAAGTTGCTTAAAAACACATATATGAGTAGGTTTTTTCTTAGAAAATATAGAAAAAATAAATACAATTCTTCTGTGCACCTGAGATGCAAGATTCAGTGCATCTTGTTTGTCTCTTAAGAACAAGTAGAAAAAGTATAACAAAAATACCGAACTCAAAGTCAAATTTAAAAAGGGGAAGTCCATAAAAACTGTTAAAATCAAACGATTAATCAACGGAACACGTGAAAAACAACTTCCATATCCCTGACTTGGTATTGGCATTTTCCGAAGAAAATGGTGGGTAGAATAGCTTGTTGGTATTTGTTATACAATTGACACATTGTACCTGTAGTTTCCTTGCAAATTTCTCTCTATACTTTGAGTAGATCAAACATATATATCAAGTATTTTCAGTTAACCTCACTTATCTGCAATTCTTGGAGTGAATTTTTAGAAAACAAAATTTGTGGAAGGACGTGTGAAATTCCTAATTCTTCAAGTTCAGACCGTAGCAGGACATCAGCCATTTTTAGTTGAAAAGGAGAGATCAGACTGAGACTTAAATAACGGGAATCTATATTTTTAGATATTTCTCTTTTTTTATCCATAGTAGAAAATTATGTCGTGAAAATGCATTTCTAGACAAAGTTTAATCGAATTGCTGACAGTATTTTGGTGTAAGCCCTTTAACTTATTGTATATTTTTTTTATTAAGATATAACAACTTTCACACGAGCTTTTTGAAACGGTAATTTTCTAATAATCAGTATGCGTATCATATGCACCAGACTGATCATGTAACATGTATTTATACTAATAGATTATCATGTTAAAGTAGGAAAAACGAGTTATTATGGTGTACTTTATAATTGGACGAGGGAATATCCATTACACTATTTTTACAACTGATGCATATAAAACCCAATATTCTGAAACTTTCCTGTTATTCATAGTAATATTCTTTCACATCCTGATCTGCATGTTCTACTCAGGTAAGACACAGACAATTGTCAATATTCAATGTAGAATAAGATTATGCATAACTTTGAATATGGCCAAAATATTTATTATAACATATAATACCGATTTACACCTAGATGAAATTGGATACCCTGCATCATCAAGCTATTCAAGACTATATGATCAAATCGCGGAAAGACACCCTCCTAAATAATTGAAAACCTACAATCATTCTGCATTGACAATAATATATTGGAGTAAATTTGAAACACACATTCGGGCTAACGCCTTCAAGGGGGTATCTAATACAAACAATTTATACGATTCATATAATGAAAGTAAAAGTAATGATGATAATGAAAGTAAGAGTAGTAATATGTTTCGACATTCGTTTGGATTATGTCAAATATAGTAAATATACATTAAATAGCCTCGTATGAAAAATAAAACTGTTTAAAAAAAATCTAAAACGACTTCCGTTGCTTTTAAATATAGAAAGATAATTTTAAATGTTCTATTTTTGTGGGGATTAAGTACATTGGAAATTCCCTGCTTACAATAAACTTTTGATGAACAAATACCGTGTATTTAAAAGGCGGAGGTATAGATTTCAGTTCGTTGAACTTATGGGACATGTGTCACCTGTCACAAGAAACACACAAAGAAACACAAGAAAGAGACAATTAACGTTTAATAAAAAATGAAAAACTCAGCTCAAATATTATTGACTGAAAAAAATTAAACAAACAAAAATAAAAACAACTCCCAACCATAAAAAAAAAAAGACTAAACAAAACATAATATGTTCAGAACTTTTCGGCAGAGAAACATAAATATAATATGTTTTCCTTATACTATTTTCAAAAACAAAGATGCTGATAACAACGTAAATCCTCTATCATTCGATTATTGATCTACTCAGTTCAATTATCTGATCAAAAGTATAAGACACGCAAAACAATAGCATATTTCGTCCTTGATACTTTCATCGGTCAACTTTTTTAATGTTAAATGCAAGTTAGTAACGGGTGGCATCTAATTAAAATGATAAAAACAATAACGTTATAGTGCAGTGTTTTAATTGTCTGAAAATATCTCCAAAACATACATATTTTCCTCAGTAGAAGCATGGTACATTGTAAATTCTAATGTGTGTTCAATAAGGACATGTGGTATAACTGCAAATGAGACAATTATCCATCAGAGTTTAAGTGAAGTGGAAGATAGCAATTATAGCTCACCGTACAGCATTAAACATGGAGAACAATCCATACCATGTAGTAAGCTGTAAAAGGCCCCGACATGAAAATGTGAAACAATTCGAACGAAAAAACTAACGGTCTAATTTATATCAATACAATTTCCGATAACGAATATCACGGAAATAAACCAGACTGCCACTACATTACATAAAGAATGTGACGTGGTATATATATTTGTGATCGCTCAACCCTCCCCTAACCTGGGGCAGTTGTGTATGCACAAGATAAGAACAAAATAAAAAATCAGTTGCAAATTGCTCATCTCAATAGATCGGTACAAAGAACAAAACAACTAACATTAACACAAAGCACCATTATAAAAGATTGGCGAAAGATACCAAAGGGACATTCAAACTCATAAGTCGAAAATAAACTGACAACGTCATGGCTAAAAAAGAAGAAGACAAACGGACAAACAATAGAACACCAGACACAACATAGAAAACTAAAGACTGAGCAATAGGAACCCAACCAAAAACTGGGGGTGATAAGAGTACCCGCTGTTAGTGAAATATAGTTCATAGCCAAAGACAACTAATTCATAAATCATGTTATCCCAAACTAAAGTATCAAACAGTACGCATTCAACGGATTTAGCGTAAAAACTTAACTAAACAGTCCGAGAAACGCCTAGCTTTGTTCAATGTCAAAATATAAGTGGTGGTAGGTTGTATGGTTATGAGTACTCTTAAACTGTACATATATAGTAATATATATTTAGTTATGTTTTCTTTTTTAAAAACAAAGTCAACATAAGAACTGACAAATTAATATTTATAGATTTTACTACTCTGTTAAATTGATAATCTTTACGAATAAGTTTACTCAAAGGATCAATGAGTAAACATAGATCGTATCTAAATTAACGGGCTCATGACTGTAAAAATTAGCAGGTAATTTCTCGTTCTCACGAATACTAAAGTTGCAGTCAAAGGTCTTAACCAAACCTTTGTGTCTATGAAACAATTTCTTTTATTTCCTTCTCAAATTGTATTGACGGAATCGTCCCACCACCAACTTAATCAGAGCGGTCTAAAGATTATATGTAAACTTAAGCATACACAGATGATTTGTACAGTAAAGAGATTCACGATCCAATTAGAAGATGAGATGTTTCAATATGCAAGTTTTTCCGTGGATCAGATTCTTACATGAAGAGAGTATGTTTCAGTCTATAAATATTCAAAAATACATAATAAGTGTAAACATTTTTTTTTAATAATTTGTTTTCCTTCATGAATTTACAGGTATTACCATCTATCTATTTTTAGGAACAATATTCAAGCAAGTGAAATAAATAAGTATAATAAGCATAATATGGTATAATAGTATGAAAACTATGGATTAGGTATGCTCATCAATTTTTTTCTTCATTAATATAATAATTGTAGTAATAAAAGTGCAAGAACATATATGTACATACATATGGTATAACGGTATACATATACATTCAAATATACATATACACATACAGTATAAACACACCGAGCAGCGGTATACTAATGTAGCCTTTATGTATAGGGATTTACACCATTAAATTTTAATCAGGCTTTTTAAGCCAGGGGTTTCAGTACAAGTTTTATTCTTCCACACTCACATTTTTTTGAAGAAATATGTTTTATTAAAATCAAGGTTTCTTTTATGTAATTTTGAAGTCCTTTTATATGAGGTTTTACATCTTGGATCTTAGATCTGTAAATGAAATACTTTGGCAGTAAAATAACTTTATTTTTTGATAACTTTCATAGAGACCAAAAATGGCAATATCCATATTAAGTGGAATTTCTACATGTACTATATCAAAAAATCCAAGAATTCAGGTAGTGCCAAATGTCGACTACAATATGACAACCCCAAAGTAAATGTTCTATAGATTCTTGCTCTTCCTTGCAAAATGTGCATAAATTACAGTTTACAGGTACATAAATTACATTTTACAGGAAAAGTATTTTATTAAGGATTTTGGAATGAATAGCTACAAATATATGTAAACAAAATATGCAAGTAATTCCAAAACTGGGATTAGGAAACAAAAGCAGTGCTCTTACATAAATTCGTCTCCCTGAGTTTATGAATTAAATCATAAAAATATTAAGGTAACAAAAAGCAGTTAATGAATACAATAATCTTAATAAAATTCATTTTTGTTGTTAATCATAAAAATTGCTAATGGGTGACACGAAATGTGTTTAGAAAAATGACAAAACGGGACAACATTTCTTTTGAAGGGAGGATTTAATGAGTTTTGATGTTGCCATTTGAGAAGGGACTTTCCGTTTAGAATTTTCCTTGGAGTTCGGTATTTTTGTTAATTTTACTTTTTAATAGAGTTATTAGAGTATGGATGTAATTCGGTTGCTACTCAATAATAAAGTTTTGCGCAGCTTTTATTATAAATTTGTTTTGATCTACTATTAGCTAGTCTATCGGAGCCACAAAGTAAAATGTTTGAGAAAATTCTGATAGGATTTCCTAGGTTATACATGTGTCTTTGGCGATGAATATTGAATCTTTTGCATTTCAATTAATAGCATTAGGTTATTACAGTTTCTCCACTAACACAATTTGTGTCAAATTTCTGTCATTGAGATGTTTATTGAGTCCGCTTTAGTTACAACATGTATTATTGAAAATCAATGCAGTGTATTTTCTATCAATCCTCGTCTTTTTATTAAGCAAAATCTGTCAATTTTGGCAAAACTTGCTCACAGTCATTAAGAATATTATTTTATGATATATCCTTCTGTGTCTCTAGTGATTATCTAATTTAAAACTGCATCCGTCACATGGAAGTCACACTATGATCACAACAGCCATTCATATTGTCAGTATCTTTTTTAGGCATTTTAATAGAAATTAAATGTATAATAACCTGATAGAGATGAACAATGAATAAATGTATGTTAATTACAAACAAGAGTTTGTATGAATGAAAGAGTGCAGCCGTTTTTTATTTTTCTATTTTATCGCTGTCCATGAAAACTATGTGGAGTTGTTTCTTGTTTTATTTTGTTCGTTTTATTGAAAATGTTAGTTGTGTACCAAAAGATGCCGAATAGAACAGGGAAAATGCAATGAAACAACATCTAAATATTCTAAAATTAATGATCTTTTGACATTCTTTTAGGGAGGTAGATATTATCTTACTTTTCATGCATAATAAATTCAGCATACATTATACTTTTGTTTCCGTTACCGCCAAAATATCTTGAATAGATTTATGAACAAACTATTGTCCAGTGGTTGTCGATGTGAATTCATTTGTTGAATTCAGTTGTTGTCCATTCGTTTGATGTGTTTTGTCATTTGATTTTGCCATGTGATTAGGGACTTTCCGATTGAATTTTCCTCGGAGTTCAGTATTTTTGTGATTTTACTTTTTCCTCCATTACTCGTGATTTCTCTTGTTTACAGCTGTTAGTAGTAACTAGATCGAACGGTCATTTTTTGTTTATTTTAAAAGTTATCAGAAATCTCAAAAAATTAGCATAGTTATTGATAACAATTTTGTTTTCGTAAAATACACCTTAATTTCCAGTTCTATGGTTGGATATAGAACATCTATGCGGTATTTTGTTCATTTTTGCATCGAGAAAATATATATTACTCAAATGTTCATTCAGTTTACATTTTCATTTTTTCACATTTCAACTGATCTAGGTAAGACCAATCATAAACTCACATAGACAAGTCATGATAATACATTATTTCAATACTTCTATATGCATTTGTCAGCATTTTTCAAATAAATGATACATAGCTTACATGTAATGAAGTTTAAAAATTTAAATTTGAATCTCCATAAAATGGATGTCAAACCTTTTATTGTGTTTATGTAAATTATTACTTTGTTTTTCTAGCTAGTTACCATGTAATGGAAACATTCAGCCTAAAATAGACTTTCATGAAAATGAGTAATGGAGCACAATCATGTTTTAAAAGACAGAAAAGCAGACTGGCCCTTGGGATATCAGTTCTTCTAAACGTTGCACTAATAATTACAATCATCGGTATTTCAGCTAAGAATACATCTGATTGTTACAAAAGAAACAATCAAAATATTCCTCTCGTGGTAAGCAATATTTAAAAAGGATGATGTTTTCTGAACTGTTTCCATTTTCAGAGATTGAATAATAACATTAAACTGTATCAATTATATTGCATCAGATGCGCATTTCGACAATTAATGTCTCTTCAGTGATGTTAGGACCAAACTATATGAAAGTTTAAAACCTGATATAAAAATTGAATAACTGATTAAACCAAAGAAACCATAAATACAGCCAAACCGCTATACACGAGGGAGATACAGTCCTTAATCTAAAATGATTTCGTAATTTTATAACAGCAAATTTAAATAGAACAATATCTGTATTGTATATCACGCTTTATCATAAAATTCATAGAAAGAAGACAACTTGATACCCTTAACTTTGTTTCAAACTTTAATTCAAATTCCTAAACAATATTTGAAGGAACAAAATATTTCAGATCTTTTCAACATAAAAAAGATAATACTTAATTAATTTCGTACATCCGAACCACTTTTCTGGATTAACCTTCACCAGAAACTTTTAAAAGCACACATTTGAAAACCAAGGATGTATGAATATGTAGATATGTAAAAAAAATATATTATATGACCAAACAGAACCTAAAAATAATCGCTAAATTCATATAAGGTAAACCTAGCCTCAGAAAGTTAGAACCTTATATATTTTACCTGTTTCACATGTGTAGGAGCAGGATTTCATTACCCTTCCGGAGCGCCTGAGATCACCCCAGTTTTTGGTGGAATTCGTGTTGCTCAACCTTTAGTTTTCTATGTTGTGTTTTGTGTACTGTTGATTGTCTGTTGTTTTTTTTTCTACCCTTAGCGTTTTCAGTTTTCGACTTATGAGTTTGAGTTTCCCTTTGGTATCTTTCGTCTCTCTTTTAATGTGTTAGTATTTTTTTAATTTAATTGTAGAACAGATTTATAAGTTCCGTAGAAGCATTTTCAGAGAAAGGTTGTTGTCATTAACCTTACCAGTCAATAATTGATCTACATGACTTAAATATCTCAACGAAACGATTATATACAATGCAAAGATGCACAAAGTTAATAATTTCTATTCAGTGCACTTGCTTGACTTCCACTCTTGCAGTGAGGTAAAATATTTAACTTCTTGATAAACTGAAACAAAGTAGTGCAAACTGCAATTTGGTAAACCATTTTAGGAAATCGGTTTTGCGGAAAAACAAAGCAATTGCATTTGATCTTAACCATGTTAACAAACTTTGGGAATATATGATTGCTTTTGAAGCCTGAATTTGTAAACTTTGCTTGAAGACTCATATTGCGTAGACTCGATTGTCTGAAATTATAGTACATTTTGTTTAATAAACTTTGACTTCGAGTCTGCGTTTTGGACAGTTTCGTCGCTAGATCTGGTACTATAAAATTAACCTTGTCGATTTAAATTCATTTTTGAAGTATATGTTATTAAAACCATTGCATTCAAACTTATGCAATCAACAATAACAAACACAATCTAACTGATAGAGTTTAAACAAAGCTTTGAACAGTGTTCTAGAGCTTCCTTACAGTTTTTCATTTGATAATTTTTCGGAGAGTTATGAATTAAAATATATTTTTGCTATTGTCATTTTATAATCTTTCATGAGTTTTCACAGCAACTGGCTCAATGCCTTTACTAGTTGACTACTCGATCCCGAGGGTATCAAATATGAAGTAGTCAGAACTTTTTGAGTGATTTGGCATTCGAACTATTTAAAACCACGGATGTGTCTTATGTATACCGAATGCGCGTCAAATCATAAGCCTAGTATCTTGGATCAGTTTTTATACTCATTTTGTTACATTGAAAGTATGTTTTTACAAAGAAGAAAGGAAGGGTATGCTCAAAGCTTCTTTATAGTAATTAAAATATAAAAAACACAGAAAAAGTAATATGTGTTTGTCTTAGAAATTATTTAAAAAATAGTATCTTATATTAGATGTAGACAGTAGAAGGATGGAGTATAATAGGTCAGTGGTAGTTTTAAATAAAACATGCAAATGTTAAAAAAAGAAATAAACATACAATTGTTAAAAACAAAATTATAACATACACATGATAAGTACGTTTCATTTTATTACAGATTCGAAATGTAGATAACGAGACGTTGGCCGGTTTGGAAATGACAAATCACAGTACAATATACTATAATACAAGGGAGAAAAATTTCTCTATATGTCTTCCTATAAACGACTATAGACATGTGATGTCCAAGAGATGCAACACGTACAAGGTATCATAAATGTATTAATTTTAATCAAATTAGTGTATAATATGGATGCAACTGAAATTACAAGTAAAGTCTAATTACTTTTTTGACAATAATATTTTGCAAACCATAAAATTCTTTCCCTGACCCATTAAATTGAAGGAGATAGCATTTGGATTTTTTCGTATACACATTTACTTTTCTCATTTATGTCACTCAGTATAAAAATGACGCAAGTATAGCACAACTGCATTAACAACCTGTGTAGACTAAAATTCTAGTTGATAATCCATTAGACTCAAATTTATGAGCAATATTAATCAGAAACATCATTTCCTGTCCTGTCCTGCTAGCAGCCATGGTTGGTATTGGCATGATTCAAATGAGTTAGCGTATAAGATTTATCAAATCAATAATTGTCCCCTTTGGTCTTAAATGTTCACCGTTTCAATTAGGTGTTGGCTTGTTGCATAACTGAAGAGAGTTAATTATCGAAATGCGTATCTGGTGTCGTCACATTGGTACCTTTAATGCTACTACTTCTACTGGGTTGTTGATACCTCCGCTGGTGGTATGAGTTTCAAAGATTATCAACAGCCAAGTAGACAGAACTTCAGGACTGGCATGAAAATGCGGATATTCTTGTATTAAAATTTGCTGTTATAAAATTTTGGTATTCATTTTAAATTTAGGCATATATCTCCAACATACATAGTTCCAATTGTTTGTCCGGGTTTGGCTTTACTTTCGGTACTTATATGCTCTCCGAAAGTTTATACTAGTTTTGGAATTTCAAAGTTACGGCCTCGAGCATCACTGGAGAGACATTGTCAAAATGCACACATGGTACATGTACATTAAAATCAGTATTGCTGATTTTATTAATGCAATAAGTAATTGTGTTTAGCTAAGGTTGTACCTACCCTAACCAAGGTTAAATTAAACAGTTATGCTGTTCTATTGGAGTACTTCCGGTGATAGTGTTTTTCTGTGTTTTTTTTTAATTTCATTTTTTCTAATGTTTTCCAAAATTTTAATAAGCCGAGTACCAAATCCGGCATATAATATAGTGATGTCGGGTTGGCAGATATTTGGCGGATATATTTTTTTCCCTTTTTGTCAAAATGTCTACATATATATTGGAGTTGTTATTAATAAGTTGTTTAAAATCCATTTAACATGTTTATTTAAAGATATCAAAATATTAAAATAAGGAGATGTGGTATGATTGCCAATGAGACAACTATCCACCAGGTTTAAAATGAAGTGGTAGGCAATTATAGGCAAAGAAGTTTGTAGTTTAAAAAAAAATTTAGTTTGTGCAACCCAGTTATGTGAATCTTTGATCGCTTTTCCTCAAGCTACATACGGTTATATAGAACTGGTTATGAACAATGCATATATAATGATATTTTTGTTCGAGCATATTGTTTTTTTTTAATTGTTTAACATTTCTTACCGATATAACATGTTACTTTTATTATTCTTCCCTTAGTTTATTTATTTTGTATTTACATTGTGTCATATGTCAAATTTATTTGTTCAGTGTATGTTCAATGGTGTTAATATGTCCTTTGATTGAGTTAAGCTATTTCAGTTGATATTTTATAGTGTGTCTTTCTATGTTGTGATAATACACTATTGTTTCAGAAAAAGGGTGAAGGTTTGGTACCATTAAAACGTTTAAACCCGCTGCATTTGTTTGCACCTGTCCTAAGTCAGGAATCTGATGTTCAGTAGTTGTCGTTTGTTGATGTGGTTCATAAGTGTTTCTTGTTTCTCGTTTTTTATATAGATTAGACCGTTGGTTTTCCCGTTTGAATGGTTTAACACTAGTAATTTTTTGGGGCCCTTTATAGCTTACTGTTCGGTGTGAGCCAAAGCTCCGTGTTGAAGACCGTACTGTGACCTATAATAGTTTACTTTTATAAATTTTGACTTGGATGGAGAGTTGTCTCATTGGCACTCATACCACATCTTCTTATATCTATAATATGATTTTACATTAAGCGATATCAAAACATTTTTCGAACATTCAGTGATCAATTTAAAATTTTAACTGTACAATGCTACGTAATACCGTTATGTATTTGCCAATGGTGTAACATAAATAATAGTAAACAAGAATTACTTTGAAGCAATGAGATAATTGGTATTGCTATAGAAAATAGAAACCGAAATATTGTAAGGTTAACTTATTGAAATACTGCAAAAAACTGTAATGATATCATAATAATTAAATTTACAGATTCAGATTCAGATTCAATATTTTATTAAAGTCTCACCACTTGTATAACATTATACATTCCAATATACAAATAAAACATTGCGTATAACATAAAATATTGGAAAACATATATAAAACATATAGTATATTAAAACTAACAGTAAAATATCATTAACTTAAATACTAAAACATATACAAGCGCCATTCTATTAAGAATTATGAGAGACTATTAAATGATTAATTATATACAATATTTAACATAATTTTAAAACTATATATATCTAAGATTTAAAATACATCATCATCCATATACAAATAAGAAATTTGTTCTTCTACATAAAATATTAAAGCAGGTTTTAGCAACTTCCTGACATAGTTCTTCATTTCTGAATAAAAATATAAACTTTTCGTCATTAGACAAGTTATAAAATTGATCATTATGTTTTACTGCTTCACTATACAATATATTTCGAAGGTCTGCATATAAAGGACATAAAGTAAATACATGTTTTTCATTTTCAATTTCATTTTTACACATAAAACAAGATCTTTCATTTATTGGTTTATTCTCATATCGTCCTGTTTCTATTTTAAGTGGAGCAACGCCACATCTAAATTTTGCATAAGCACTTTTAAATTTAATAGACATATTTTGTTTTAAATATAATTCTGTACAATATTGTGATTTATATAGCTTATAAGTACGAAGCTTGTTACCATTACCCTGTGACAAAATTTTCGTTTGCCATTCTGCAATATATTTATTAAATAAAACGTTTTCTAGTTGTAGAACAATATTCTTATGCAGCACACTATCAATACTAGTATACAAATCAACATTACAATCTTTAAGTTTTTTCATGACTCTATTACACCAGTTTTTCTTATTATTTACAGCATTGTTATGTGACCATTTGAAAACTTTATAATTTATTCTGTCATTGGTCATGACACTACATCTTGCCAAGTGCCTAAAGACACATGTCCATTGATTTACACTAGGTGGTCTCCAGCCCATGTCCCCATAAATAGCATCATTTGGCGTAACTTTACCTGCCAACACCCGTAAAAAACCTGATAGCTCTGTTCTGACATCGTTTATGCAAGAAAATGAACGAGTGCCCCAAATGGATGTACCATAGCTTATGACTGACCAGACCAGAGTATCAAATAATGTTGTAAAGGTACTGAGCTTGAAACCACCATGTGCTTTACTTTTAACAATCAATAAACTTAGAGCTCGACTTGCAGACCTTGCTACAGCTTTATCCATCTCATTATAATCGAGATATTCTGTCAACAGTAGACCCAGATATTGGTAACAAGATACTATTTGTACTGTATTATTATTTAACAAAAAAGATTTAGATGTTTGTTGAACCGAAGGGTTTACAAGTATTTTCGAAATAGCGGTTTGATTGTAATTCAATAATTTTTATTCAGCTTCCACCAAAAGATCCATAGCTAAAATGATGATTTCACCATATACTGATATTGTATTTGTCAATTCTATATCAAGATATTAAACATGTGTTTTTATACGCCCGTTTACGGGACGTATTATGGTATACCGTTGTCCGTCTGTCCGCCCGTTCGACTGTCCGTTGTCAACATGTCGGGCATTAACTCAAAAACTCTTTAACCAATTTGCATAAAACTTTAGTGAATTGTTTATATCTATTGACGTGAGCTCCCTTTCGTTTTTGATAAATTTTAGATTTTATGTTTCAGAGTTATGGGGTTTTATTCATTAAAAAAAGGGGGATTTTCAAGTTTTCGGACAATAACTCCAGAATGCTTTCACCAACTTGCAAGAAATTTTGGTTAATTGTTTATATCTTTTAACATGAGCTCCCTTTGGATTTTTATAAATTTTAGATATTACGTTTCCGAGTTACGGGGTTTTATTCATAAAAAAAGGGGGATTTTCCAGTTTTCGGACAATAACTCAAAAATGCTTTCAGCAGTTCTCATGAAACTTTGATGAATTGTTGATATCTATTGACTATATGATGTAAGCTACATTTAGAATTTTATAGATTTTAGATTTTACATTTCCGAGTTATCGGGTTTTATTCATTAAAAAAGGGGGGATTTTCCAGTTTTCGGACAATTACTCAAAAATGGTTCAGCAATTCTTATGAAACTTTGGTGAATTGTTTTTATCTATTGATGTAAGCTCCCTTTAAAATTTTATAAATCTTATTTGTTTATAGTCTGACAACAGATTTACTAAGTATTGCGCAACAGCACAGTGTATTGCACACCAGCAAGAAATTTTTAATTGAATATAAATTCAATTCATATAACCAATTTCAAGTTCTTTGACTACATTTATTCAGAAACCTATAATATGTCAAATATTTAATTACAATCCAAATTCAGACCTGTATCAAGCTTGAATATTGTGTTCATTTTTGCCCCAACTGTTCATGGTTGTATCCAGCTGCGCTCAGCGAAGCAGTTTATTACAAGTATTGATACTGTCTCTTTCTTTTAATTTCATATCAATATGAAGAACTTATTTAGTAATCTCAAGGTTTTTTTAAATCCTTTGCTAAACAATGTGCATTTCTGTTATCTTTTGTTGAATATATTTTTTTAAGCTTTTGTTAATTTTGCAATCCACTTTAATCCTGTAATGATGTAATATTATTTTTCCGTAATGTTTAACACCGATAAATTGTTATATCGTGACAATGCATAGACAATCCATTTTACTTGTATTCTAAAAATATTATTTACCTGTATATTAAACAGTACAAATTGGAATTTGGTAGGATCCAGCATCACCCTCCTAGTACACATTAGAATTCCCACATCTACTAGTAGAAATTAGATTTCGGATTTATACTATTTAAAAGCCAGTACAAATCAAAATTACAATATGTACTGCTAGAAATTTAGGGATATCCAGATATGTACTAGGAGGATCCTTGGATCATGGTTCAGGATATCAACATAAACTATAATTAGTATGATTTTGGATTGTACTTGATTTATGTTTTACTTATTATTTTTACTGATGTACTTCACAAAAAAAAGTACGAATTTCCTTAAGTTGAGCTATATAGTCCATTGTTACTACATTTACTAATCAAAAGTGGGCAGAACAAAATAAGCATGATAAAGACTTTTATGACTTGTGGCTGAAGACAGATAACGGGTAAAATTTTAACAAAATAAAGGTACACAAAATTATCCTGTTTTTGAACCACTCACAGAGTCAAAGAAACAATTTTAGATATTCCCTCAAAATCAAAGTGTCATTTCACCGGTTTCAGTCAGCTCTTCATTTCACCGGTTTCAGGCAGCTCTTCTGGTTTCAGTCAGCTCTTCATTTCACCGGTTTCAGTCAGCTCTTCATTTCACCGGTTTCAGTCAGCTCCTCATTTCACCGGTTTCAGTCAGCTCTTCATTTCACCGGTTTCAGTCAGCTCTTCATTTCACCGGTTTCAGTCAGCTCCTCATTTCACCAGTTTCAGTCAGCTCTTCATTTCACCGGTTTCAGTCAGCTCTTCATTTCACCGGTTTCAGTCAGCTCCTCATTTCACCGGTTTCAGTCAGCTCTTCATTTCACCGGTTTCAGTCAGCTCTTCATTTCACCGGTTTCAGTCAGCTCTTCATTTCACCGGTTTCAGTCAAACACCTGTTTCTTAAATTCGATTCTTTGTTAATATTATGTGAAATAGCAAAAAAAATGATATGCAATGTCCTTTTATACTAAAACTTTTACACGATAAAAGCTCTCACATAGTGTCATTTTTTGACAAAACGATTAAAAGAGGCACCACTGATATATTACGAATACGCTGATTAACTAAATTTTGGTTAAATCCATTCGCTAAAACTATTAATTTTAAAATTGACCGAAGCTTTTGCAGTAGTACTAGAAGGAGGAATGGTCTTGAAATATCAGTCAACACAATGCTCACGGATTTAAAATTTTAAGACCCTACGCAATGCATTTTTCAAGGAAAGAATTGTTCATCTTATAAAAGTTTATTACGCTTGTGTTTTGACCCGAAGAAGTCTTTCTTCTTCAATTTCTTAAAAAAATCTTAATAAGTTCTGAATATGCATTTAATTTTTTTATTTACAGTTTCAAGTTTATAAAAAAAGAATGTATTTGCTATTTTTTTTAACCGCCTCGGTGGTATCGTGGTAGCGTGTTTGCCTATAGTGCGGGAGGTCGTGGGTTCGAAGCCAAATACTGTAAAATTAGTATTTGCTGCATCTCTGCTAAGCACGCGACAGTAAAGAGTAAGAACAAAGAATGGTCCTCTCGGAGACAGAATTATGTGTCCGGGTAGGGGACGTGTCTCATGTGGTCTGTTACCTTGTGACCTAGCGGGTTGAAAATCCAGCTCAGCGTGTCATTCTAGTACACAACATGGCTCAATTCATATTGCACTGATATGTTCTCGTCCTGAATATGCATTTGATTTTCCACAAGACTTTAATCAGCCATCTATCCATCCATCAAATTGTTCTTTAGTTTAAATGCAAAAGCAAAATTTTGAAAATGAATATTCTAAACTGAAAGAACTGAAAATAAATAACATTGCCCAAAAGGAGCATAAGAATGAATATTTTACCCAACAAAAGGCAGGATATAAATTGCTCAAAGTGACCTGGTAAGAAAGAAAAAAATCGTCCCCCCCCCCTTTCGATGAAAATGAAAGAACAAACTAACAATTGTATGATCTGCTGTACTGACTGAAAATGGCAGTATAGTTCTCTTTATTTACTAAGTTAAAACGCAGCTTGGAATGCACCCTTAGGTCTTGTATTGTTTACTATTTTTCTATCTTTTTTTTTTGTTTGGAATATTACCATTGATTTAAGTTTTTTGCAATATTGTGATTTTATTTAGTGTTGAATGAAATCATCATTATATTTTATTTATGACATAATTCTGTAATACCGATGTCACAAAACCGATTGAAAAGTTTGTCTGTTTTGCTGCATTAACTTATTACCCGTACATCTCATACAAAGTTGTTCACAGAGTTATTTTTGTTGTGTTTGAAGACGGAAACATTTGTTTTTATACGACCGCAAAAATTAAAAATTTTTTGGTCGTATATTGGTATGACGTTGGCGTCGTCGTCGTCGTCGTCGTCGTCTGGCGTCGTCCGGCGTCGTCCGAAGACACATTGGTTTTCGCACTCTAACTTTAGTTTAAGTGAATGGATCTCCATGAAATTTTACCATAAGGTTCAATACCACGAAAGGAAGGTTGGGATTGATTTTGGGGGTTATGGTACCAACAGTTAAGGAATTAGGGGCCAAAAAGGGGCCAAAAATAAGCATTTTTGTAACTTCCAGACAATAACTTGTGTGTAAGTGTATGGATCTCTCTGACATTGTACCACAAGGTTCCATATCACAAAGAGAAGGCTGTAATTGATTTTGGGGGTAATTGCCTCAAAATTTTAGGAATTAGGGGCCAAAAAAGGGGCAAAAAACAAGCATTTTTCTAGTTTCATGACAATAACTTGTGTGTAAGTGTTTGGATATTTCTGAAATTGTACTACAAGGTTCCATATCACAGAGGGAAAGCTGGAATTGAGTTTGGGGGTAATTGCCCGAAACGTTTAGGAATTGGGGGCCAAAAAGGGGCCAAAAATAAGCATTTTTCTAGTTTCCAGACAATAACTTGTGTTCAAGTGTATGGATCTCTCTGAAATTGTACTGCAAGGTACCATACCACAAAGGGAAGGCTGGGATTGAGTTTGGGGGTGATGCATAATAAGGGGGTTCAAAAAATTTGGGGGGGGGATTTTTCTTTTTTTTCCTTTTTTTTTTTCTTTTAAAATTTTCCATTTTAAGTTGGTTATTTCTGATTTATATTTAAAAGCATATAATAATGATATGGTAGGAGATACACACCAAACAGGATGTGTAAATTATTATATAATAAGTATTGTGCAATAGCAAGAAATTTTCAATTGCACAGTATTGCACAATAGCAAGAAATCTTCAATTGCACAGTATTGCGCAATAGCAAGAAATCTTCAATTGCACAGTATTGCGCAATAGCAAGAAATATCCAAATAGCACAATATTGCGCAATAGCAAGAAATTGTCAATTGTACAGTATTGCACAATAGCAAGAAATATTCAATTGCACAGTATTGTGCAAAAGAAGATACTTCGTATAAATTGCTTATTTCTTGATCAATTTCAATGGGGTTTTATTCTTGAATTCTTGGGGTTCTTTAATATGCTGAATCTAACCGTGTATTAAGTTTTTGGATTTTGGGCCCCGTTTTTAAATTGGTCCACATTGAGGTCCAAAGGGTCCAAAATTTAACTTTGTTTGATTTCATCAAAAATTGAATTATTGGGGTTCCTTGATATGCCGAATCTAACCGTGTATTTAGATTCTTAATTTTTGGTTCCGTTTTCAAATTGGTCTACATTAAGGTCCAAAGGGTCCAAAATTAAACTTAGTTTGATTTTAACAAAAATTGAATTTTTAGGGTTCTTTGATATGCTGAATCTAAACATGTATTTAGATTTTTGATTATGGGCCCAGTTTTCAAGTTGGTCCAAATCTGGTCCAAAATTAAACTTTGTTTGATTTCAACAAAAATTGAATATATGGGGTTCTTTGATATGCTGAATCTAACCATGTATTTAGATTTTTGATTTTTGGGCCCCGTTATCAACTTTGCCCACATTGAGGTCAAAAGGGTCCAAAATTAAACTTTGTTTGATTTCATCAAAAATTGAATTCTTGGGGTTCTTTGATATGCTGAATCTAACCATGTATTTAGATTTTGGATATTGGACCATAATAGGTGAATGTCCAATTTAAAATTTTTAAGTTCTTAGACCACATTCATTCTGTGTCAGAAACCTATGCTGTGTCAAATATTTAATCACAATCCAAATTCAGAGCTGTATCAAGCTTGAATGTTGTGTCCATACTTGCCCCAACTGTTCAGGGTTCGACCTCTGCGGTCGTATCAAGCTGCGCCCTGCGGAGCATTTTATTTTTAAATATTTCACAAATTCAGTTTTTGCTAAATTATCTAAAACGGACTTTCAACGCAATTATCTTTTTATTAGTGTTTTCATTGTTTTGTAAGTTTTTAAACAATAAAGGTCAATTTTACATAGAAAAATATGTGCTCATTCTTTTCGTCTGCAAAAGGAAATAATTCATACGCTGGACAAACTTGTTTATGGTTATTCAAAAATCTTTAAGATTTGCATTGACTCTCTTTAGCAAGACAAAAGACAAAAAAAAAACAAAACAAAGACGATTATGTCAAAGATATGCTATTTTTCATTTGTTTTGTTTTATTTTTTAAAGGAGGTTAGACTGCACTTGAAAACTAAGCAGGACATTGGTAATTTCGATCTAGTTATGTGTATGTAACTGTCCTTTAAATCCATGTTATTAATATATATATATTTTCAATTCGGTATAGAAATATGGCCATCGTCCTGATGTAAAATCCATTATAAATCCATGTCCTGAATATACATGAATAAATTGTCATTGTACATTAAGGTAGCAACAATGAATCATCCAATCCATATCTTCAGTGAATGAAAATAGAAATACCGCAAACTCCATATAATTTTAAAAATTTCATTGTAAAATTGAGAATGGAAATAGGGAAAATGTCAAGGAGACAACAACTCGACCAAAGAACAGAAAACAGCCGAAGGCCACCAATGGGTCTTCAACACAGCAAAAAAATCCCGCACCCGTAGGCGGGCTTCATTTTTTTTATATATACAATGAAATAAAGTCTCAACAATGTATTGAGTCTTTTGATCACTTTATCTGTTCAAATAAATTGCGGTTTTATGTCGTCTTTGTATATAAGAATAAACATGTATTTTAATTTATTTCTGTGTATGCATGAAAGTAAGATCTGTATTAAACTTTATTGTGCACTTAGGAATTTGATATAAAAGAGTTTTGACTTTTTGATATACAACGTATTAAGAAACAACAATTTATCTGCTGTATCCTAAAGTTTTGTTGACCTACTGAAGAAGAACTCTACTTTGCATAGCATGTACATTTGTTAGTGGACAGGTCAAGCTTAAAATGGCATATTGAAATAAAGTCTCTTGTGCACTTTAATTTTATCATTTATCTTTATACCACATGGATGGAACCCATGTTGGTGGACTATCAGCTCTGATTGTACCATAAGTATTCACCCACTAGGCAGCATTCGTTTCTAGTACTTGAATGATTAAAACGATACATTTTGTCTGTAAATTTCAAGTTCAGAAAATAATTAAATCATGTTCACACAAAGGTAAAATATGAGAAAAGGGCTCAAATCAAAATCGACTCGTATGCTTTGTTCGGTAATCAAGAGGTATAAATACATATATAAAATAAGGAGATGTGGTATTATTGCCCATGATACAACCATCCAATAGAGTCCAAATAAAGAGGTCTAAAGCAATTAAAGGTCACCGTATGATATTGAACAATGAGCAAATCCCATACCGTATAGGCAGCTATAAGATACCCTAATATGACAAATTTATTACAATTCAAATGAAAAACACCAAGGGCCTGATATATGACAAAACAATAAACGAAAAACAAATATGACAGCAACCACCGACAATCATTAAATTACAGGCTCCTGACTTGAGAGAGACAAATATATGATGTGGCGGTGGTGTTTCAAATATTTGTGAGCACTCAACCCTTCACCAATCTAAACCAGTGGTGTAACAGCACAGCTCATCAATCGACACGAAGCACAAAAACAAAAAACAAAAACAAAAACCACTAACATAACGACAAAAGACACCAATTGCAAGTATCGTTATAAGAGTACTCGCAGTAACTGAAAGCTAGTTCAAAGCCAAAATCCAATACTAAATAAATGATATTCTTCCTAACTAAAGTACCAATCAGTTCACATCAAACGAATATAAATATGAAATAAACAGTCTGAGACAAGCATTACCTTGTGCAAAGTAAAAGTAATGTATATTTGAATATGATAATGAAATTACATTATGAATATTTGCAACTAGCATGTTTTCCCTTGGGGTTCATTCCAGGGATATCTGGAAAACCTTTTTACTTGTGTGAACTGTAATAACACCAAATGTACAATTCAGCTTGTTTAATCTTTCTTTTGATTGTGCCTCCTATTTTTTTGTTTTTGTGGTATTCCATACTTTTGATCTCAAACATACCTGACTTAAAATTATTCCGGAAACACATGTTATGTGCCTTGATATCATTAAATGTAATATATGTTACAGGCATTTTCTAAATTTAGGCATTTTGTAAAATGACTGAATTTTCAGCAATTTATAAAATGTCTAACCTTGATAGGCATTATCTAAAATGACTAAAAATATCTTGTTTCAGTTTCAGGCAATTTGTAGAAAAAGGATATAATTGAGATGCATATGACAAAAAGTAAACACAAGGTCTTGCAAAGAACTGAATAACTATTGGTTCGGTAGAAATAATTCATTCTTCCAAAACCAGATGGGAAAGTTTTTATGTCATATGATATGTTCTTTTTAGTGAAACTATGCATTCACTCTGTATTTCAGACAGTAAATTTATGATTATTTTGTCAAAATGGCAGAAGGACAAATTGTTCTTTCAATAGAACAACAATTTTTAGAAAATCCAGATTCAAATAAATGAAGTGAAACATATAAAGCAGAGAAAAAGAAGTTTGTTTTTAATTAACTGATTGCTGTTTGTTTTCTTTCAGTAGCGAGTATTTCATGCATTTTCAAGACGCGAAGAATTTGGTTATAATTAATATGGGTAATTTCAGCAGTAGTTTAACCTGGATAAAGAACAGGAATTTCGACTGCCGCTTGAAATGAAGGTATTTTGGATAGGGACAGAAAATTCCACCTACAGAACGGTCAAAGAGTTCTTAACGTGCAGAGAGTGTTGTACTTTACTAACATGCGGCAATATATTTAATGTCCCCATTCAGAAAGAATGAGAATTTATGCATCCACATCCAAACAAATTCCCCTCTATAGCATGGATGTCGCCATACAAGGCCTTGTTTGGTTGTGATGTAAAGATATGAGTATCTTCATCTTCACTGCCTCAAGGAAATCCCTGGGTTTATGCAATCTGATGAATGAATGAGACATTAGTTAACTGTGGTAAAAATCTCGAAAATCCACCAAGAAGAGACAAAATACGGTGCATTGACAGGGTAAGCGTCTCCTGTTATAGATGCATCACCCGTCATGGGCAGATCTGCTTCAGTCCGTTAAAAGCTATAATCCAAAAGATACAAGTCAAACTAATCATGATAATGTACTTTAAATCTTTTGGGAACATATGAAAAAGAAGATATTCATGTGTGACGTGTGTACTTACTGCGAAACCCAATGTTGTCGAACATTAAGTGTTTTATCAGAAAAGAATCTGAAAAGGTAATGAAAGAGCTAAATGTGTCATGATCCAGGTATATCCAAATGTGGTCGAAGTGCTAAAACCAGATTTTACTCCAAACAATGTATTTGCAAAAAAATCTGGACAAATATTGTATAACAGTTCTGTCATCCTAACATTTTAAGAAATAACAAATAATTGTCGAGTTCTGTGCTTGTGTGAATTGGAATAATTCAGTAAAACTTAGTTTTTATTATTAAAACTCTGAAATTGCAAGCTTTAACATTCAGTAATTATCATAAATAAAACTGCTCTGTTGTTCAAATCTTTCAATTGGTTTTTTTTTAACATTTCATGCTATAAAATAATTTCAGGCATTTTGTATTGTGCGGGTGTTGTGCCACAAACGCATACTCTAATCTCTTATGTATCATATACAATTGAGAATGGAAATGGGGAATGTGTCAAAGAGACAACAACCCGACCATAGAGCAGACAACATATACATAGATACGTACACCTTTTCAGAGTCGGTTATCTCATAGATAGGATACTGTCACTATCATTTGATAGAATGTCGCCTCCGATAGCATCTTACGGGCAAGCAGGTGCTACAAACATTTTATCTATATTCGAAAGTTTACTTTAAATTGTATTCATTATCATTATATAATGATTCGAGAGAAATGAACAGTCTAAGTATTTTAGTGCTCATACTGTCTGTTGTGCCTTTGAATTCTAAATCTGTGCGACAGCTTAACTCATTTTCCAAGAGCTGTAATGGACATGTGTGTGATTATGTTGTCCAGGTGTCCACCAGTCCAGGATCAAATGGAACAGCTACTGTAACTTTCCCTAGGAAATTTATAGCTGAAATGAATGAGTTACAGGTATGCGTTTTATTTATTATTTATTATTATTATTATTATTATTATTATTATTATTATTATTATTATTATTATTAAAACATACGTATGGAAGGAGCCATAATTTTGCTCCTAAAATAAAAAAAAGTAAAAATGTAAATTTCTTTCAAAATTGAAAACTACTATAATAATTGTTGTAGAGACAAATTAATATAATGATACAACATTGACACTTCAGAGTCAATTAAAATTCAGTACAGAAAGGTTAGTTGCGATGATGTCACCATGAGGTCATAAGACACTTACATAAGGAATTGGTACTTTCCCACCAAACAACAAATAGGGGAATCTATATCCACTAAACGTGACGAAACTAAACGTATTTACCTGAAATGGCCACATGATATTTATTTTCGATAACATTAAATTAATCTACAGCATAACTAAAAAGGTTCTTTTACGCATATCTACAGATTTGAAAAGATATCTTAAAACACCATATCTTTCGGGTTAAACAGTGTCGTTATCTCGGATTGATAATCCGCTATCTCGCATTCCCAATCTATTATCTCGGATTAATAATTCGTTATTTCGGATTTGCAATCCGTTATCTCAGATTCCCAATCCGTGATCTCGGATTGATAATACGTTATCTCGGATTGATAATCCGTTATCTCGAATTGATAATCCGTTATCTCGGTTTCCCAATCAAAGGTCAAGGTCACAATGTGTCTGAAGTTTTGTCATTACCTTGTGGACAATCTAGACTCGATATGTTTTGATGAATCACAACTGTTAGACTTGATCGGTCAGGGAATAATCCGCTTCGAGTTTGTCATAGTTTATATAGACATGATGCAAGAAGGGTGGAGTCCGACTTAATCCCAGCCAAAAAGCTGAAATATGTATAACAGGAAATGTATGGCTAATTGACTTAATTTTTGTTTGAAAGCTGATCTTTAACCAATATGTTCTTCATATGCAAACTTGTCTCTCATTGACCGACATGTCCTCTACAAACTTTCCATATTTCTTACTGATGCATTGAATGTTTTCTGATTAAAAGCTGGCATTATTCTTTAACTTCACTTTCCGCTATATAGATGATGTCCTCTCACTAAATAATTCAAAGTTTGGTGATTATGTAGAACTCATCTACATCAACGAACTTGAAATAAAGGATACAACAGATACAGTTAAGTCTGCCTCATATCTTGACTTACATCTAGAAATTGACAAGAACAAAACTTTACGACAAAAGAGATGATTTCAGCTTCCCAATTGTAAACTTTCCATTTCTATGTAGCAACATTCCAGCAACACCCGCATATGGAATATATATATATCCCAGTTGATACGATATTCCAGGGCTTGTATTTCCTACCATGATTTCCTTGATAGAGGGTTGCTGCTCACAAGGAAGCTATTAAACCAAGAGTTCCAAGTGATGAAGTTGAAATCATCCCTTCAAAAATTTTACAGACGCCATCAGTTGGTTGACCGCTATGGAATATCTGTTTCAGAGATGACGACAGATATGTTCCAATTTTCGTTACCACAATCATGTCCCCTTTTCCTCGAATGTGACATAACTAATTAGACTTATCACCGGGTTTGTACTTATATGAGCAAATCGACGGGTGCCACATGTGGAGCAGGGTCTGTTTATCCTTCCGGAGCACGTGCAATCACCCCTAGTTTTATTTTAAAGGGGTTCATGTTGCTCTTGCTTTAGGTTGTTCTTTGTGCGTTCTAATTTTTCAATGTCTGTGTTGCATATACCGGTAACAGTCTTGTCTATCCTTTGTCATGATAAACCTTTCAATATCAAAATTTCACTTCTGTCAAGTTTTTGGGTTAGAAAATTTACATGACCGATGGCTTACCAATTTAATGATGTCTTAGGGTGAGATACGAGTCGATTACCAATCCGATATAGTGTGATGCCTGATCACTTGATAAAGCCTATTAACATATTTTATAGGAGTAACACGACGGGTGTCACATGTGGAGCAGGATCTGCTAACCCTTCCGAAGCACATGAGATCCCCCCGGTTTTTGGCGGGGTTCGTTTTGCTTAGTATTTAGTTTTTTATGTTGTGTTTTGTATACTGTTGTTTATCTTTTGGTCTTTTTCGTTTTTTTCATGGCGTTGTCAGTTTATTTTCGAGTTTGAATGTCCCATGGGTAACTTTATTATAGATATTCATCCGTCCGTACGTTACAAATTGGTTTTGGACTCCGTTATACAGTTTGGGATCGGTTTTGGTTGATTTTACTTTTATCGTCCCGGAGCTATAACTCTTGGTAGGCTTAAAAAATCATTAAAATTTAGTTTTCCAATGATAAAAAAGAGAACCAGTTGACTGATTGCTTAGAAAATTTTACAGGAATGTAACATTAAATAAAGATTGGATTAAATTTTCTTTCCTTTTCATTTGTTCTGTAATTATGGCCCTTGATAGATTTGAAATTGATGACATTTTGATTTAGGGATGACAAATCATGAATCACTTGAAGAAATGAAAAGGAAATTTACAATAAATGTCAAGGAAAATTTAATACAATTGACCTTGACTTTAGTTGATTTTACTCGTACTGTTAGTTATGGTCGTTGATGGTTACTGGATGGGAGAAACTTTACAAAGATGTGATCAGATGCATACAATACAAGAGGTTGGCAACTCCATTAAATAATCATTTAATTAGAGAAAATGGCACACAGCACTTACGTTTTGCATCGTACTTCTTTGAGGATAGATTTAACTATCCCCTCGCCCAACAGAGTTGAGGAGGGTGTATATAATGTTTGACAATCAGTTAGTTCGTCCGTTTTTTCCTTCGAATGTTCGTCCTGGCTAACCTTCACGTAAAGGTCTATACCAAAACTAGGTCATCTTGATCTACATTTTACGCATGAGTGACTATGGTTGATTTGCTTTAAGGTCCAGATTATAGCAAGTACTTGTCATAGATGAACGATAATCATATTTTGTCACTGAATGTGTCTTAAAAAATAACGACGTTCCATACAGGTCAATATCTAGTAACAATTGGGAATCCGAGATCAAGGATTATAAATCCAAGATCAGAGATTGGAAATCCGAAATAACAGATTATCAATCCGAGATAAAAGATTATCAATTTCAGATCCGAGATAACGAATTAGTAATCTGAGATCACATATTGAAAATTCAAGATAACGGATTGGGAAACCGATATAACGGATTAGGAAACCGAGATAGCGGATTATCGATCCGAGATAACGGATTGCGAATCCGAGATAACGGATTATTAATCCGAGATCATGGATTTGGAATCCGAGATAACGGATTATCAATCTGACAGAACAGATTATCAATCCAAGATAACGGATTATCAATCCGAGATAACGGATTATTAATCCGAGATCACGGATTGGGAAACCGAGATAACGGATTAATTTTATTTTGTATGTGTCCCTTTATGGCTACCGTAGATTTAGAACAAAATTCATTATATGAGAATTATAGTTATTTCCCTTCGAGAAATGCATGATGATTTTGGTACTTTAGAAATGTAAGCTGTATTGGATGCATGATATATTGTTTTATTACTTGTGTGGAAAAAATCACCCTTTTATTCATAAAAATATATTGATATCATTATCAAATCATCCATCTTTTGTTGTTTCGCAGATGCTTATGTCAAATCTGGCCATTGTGCTGAAATCAGACATGTTGCAAGCTAGCCATGTATTACAGGGACTGAGGAACAATTTCACGACTTTAGAACATAAGATGACACAGTCAATAAGCACTGTGAAAACTTCAGTCGAATCAAATCACAAAAGTGTAAGTGTCTCAATGCAGTTATAATTTATGTACTTTTTTTTTCAATCAGTCTTATTTTGTTTAATTCTAAGTTAAAATAGAGTGTTGATGTTGATAAATTTCAATCATTTTTCGGACTATTCTTCCTATTATTATTTCTTAATTTGCAAGCAATGTTCATACACTACAAGAAATCACCTATCTTACTTTGTTCTGTTTTTTCAGTTGTTACACGAATTGAAAGCACTGCGATCAGACGTTGATACTCTTTATGGTGTTGTTAAAGGTCGTACGCCTGGTGGTGAACCTATTATTGCGAATGTAGTCTCACTAAAATCCCAAGTTCCTATAGGTATTTTACATGTTTACATCGTTTTCGAGAAACAAAAGAACCTTAATTACATAAAAATGATCATGATAGAAAAGAAAGGGTATAGGGTATCCATCCATGACACTGAATTAGTACCAGCATATGAAGGAGACATGTTTCAATCTCCGGGTGTTAAATATATAATTGTAGTTAATACAGTTCTTAACGGTAATATTATCTATGAAGCAAAAACCAATCTAGCCTTTTTTCGTTAAATTGAGATTTAGAATAATTGATGAATTTAGTTAGAATGCTATTATTGAATAGTCAATGCGTCTGTTCATTTGTAGGAGTTATAAATTAGACAGTTTTGTTAGTATTTTCTTGGATTTTGTCGTCATTCAAACTCTTATTAATTTACGTTTGCGCACTGCATAAGTCGTGCCTTAGGAAAGTTCTGTGCGACATTTATTTCGAAATACAGCCGCCGATGTGAAAGTGAAGGATGTCATGTTAGATACCAGAAGGTTAAGCACTTTGAGCTTGCTTTCGGTATTCAAGATTAACCACAAGCTCCTACGGAAAAAGGCGGTATAAAAGTTGTCGGACCGGTAAAACGTAAAAAAAAGAAAAAAGAAAAGAAGCATGACACGCCGTATCAGGTTAAAGATGTTTTCTGAATGACTGATTTTCAGACTTGTAAAAAACAGCTTGTGAAGACAGTGCTTCCGGTAACTGTTAGCAGTCTCATCTATTAGTGTTCTTACTTGTAATTAAAATTTTGTTATTAATTATACTCAGTCTCGACGTACTAAATGGGTGTTTTTTCTGACCTGGATATTATTGTACATTCCTGTATGAAAAGTTCGATATTTCATGTATTTAAATTAAAATTGAGCGAAAAAAATCTTAAACGAAATATACACAAACTTGCAATGTACCAAATCAAAGTCAAGAAACTCGTCATGGTCCATGAGCATATCAATTTGTTTGTATTTAGATGTTGCTGGACGAACATTTAAGTCTCTTTAACATGTTTTTCTCTGTTCTAGACTCCATTTCTTACATTTGAGGTTAATGCTGCTGTATTAGTAAATATATAAAGGATATTTCAACATACAACACAATATTATATAATAAGCAATGACATAAAACTAAAGATTCACACATTTTCGAATACCATTGTCAAATGTGTATTAAACATACAAAGTAAGAAATGTATGGACATAGAAGCAAATGAGCTGTTCCTAGAATTATATAACAGAAATATCCTTGATGTACACATGCATTGCTCAATCTCCGCCTCAATCCTATGGATTGTGGTAGTACACATGCATTACTCAATCTCCGCCTCAATCCTTTAGATTGTGGTAGTACACATGCATTGCTCAATCTCCGCCTCAATCCTATAGATTGTGGTAGTACACATGCATTGCTCAATCTCCGCCTCAATCCTATAGATTGTGGTAGTACACATGCATTGCTCCGCCTCAATCCTATAGATTGTGGTAGTACACATGCATTGCTCAATCTCCGCCTCAATCCTATTGATTGTGGTAGTACACATGCATTTCTCAATCTTCGCCTCAATCCTATTGATTGTGGTAGTACTGTTTTGATTTTTAACTTACATTCACTCTAACCACTGGACACTTATTCAAGTACAAAAACTATTTTATTTCAATGTACTGATCATGTACTCAGAGTTACGCGTCCTCCACTTTAATGGATAATTAAGCATTCTACAGATTATAGTGCTTTCTTATCTATATGTCATCTGGATGCTTTAAATGGAAGTATACATATTCATTACTAAGTATATGAGACAAATGGTGTTGTAATAACATAATGTCCTAGCCACAACAGTACAGGTAACAGTGCTGTATTTGATTTATATTATTATAATATCAACCGTTGGCACATTGTGCACTCATTAGATATTCCAAACCATAGTGCCCCAACACACATTCATTCTCACCACTTTTTTCTAGACTTTGGAACTGATTGTGCTTCATTATATAAGGCGGGAGTGAATATTAGTGGTATATATTCTTTACAACCAGATCCATCGGATAACTCAACCCGATTTAATGCAGTATGTGATATGACAACAAGAGGCGGCGGATGGACACTTATTCAAGTAAATAGAATTTTTTTTTCAAAGTACTGGTCAATTAACAGAATACTGCGTTCTCCAAATGATTGATACATAATCATTGTGTCAAATTATAGTGTTATATATTACTATTGTCAACTATATGTTTTAAATGAATGCATACATGTTTACTTTATGAGACAAATGGTGTCAAAACGTCATGTTTTGCCTCAACAGTACATGTAACAGTACAGTTTTTAAATTTTATATTTAAACTATCATTATCTTGGCAAATTGTGCAGTCATTTGATATTCAAAACCATATGCATGACTTTTGATTGTACATACAAATAATTAGATTGTTTTAAGCAATCTTGATGAATAATGCTTACGAATACTGTTGACTTGGGGGAAACTGAAATTAATTTGTATTTTGCACTTTTACCAAACATAATCATGATAATTGATATGAAAATTCAAAATAAGATTGGGATGTTATATACATGATATATAACTTTTTTTCGTGGGTTAATTGTTTATTTACTTGTCTACACTATTGTTAACCATTCATTACAGAGACGTTATGATGGATCCGATGATTTCTTCAGGGGATGGAATGATTATAGGAATGGATTTGGAAATTTCTTTCATGACTTTTGGCTTGGGTTGGAAAAAATGCATATTCTTACAAAACATGGTAACAACAGAATGAGGATAGATCTTATGGACTGGGAAGAAAACTACAGGTTCGCAGAATTTGATTACGTTACAATCAACGACGAAACAGATAAATACCGTATCTTAGCTGGTGGATATTCCGGAACAGCTGGGGATCCTTTTCACACGCAGTATTATCAACAACGAATGCAAAGTATGCAGTTCTCGACCTTTGACAATGATAATGATTTCGACCAGGGTGGAAACTGTGCAAAAAGCTATAACTCTGGGTGGTGGTTTTCGAATTGTTTTATCGTTAATTTGAATGGAGTATGGTACCCAACATCTAAATATTATGGTAGTACTTGTAATGGCATTGTATGGGACATGTGGTCTAACCATACTAATTGCTACTCTCTCAAGAATGCAGAAATAAGATTCAGACCAGAAACGTTTTAGAGATGGAATGCAAAGCATAAAAAGCATTAAAGTAAAAAAAAGTTCCATAATTGCCCTAAGGCAAAGTTAACTTTCGATGAATTTGGCCATATAAATCCTCCCGTATTTAGGTATTTATACAGCTTTAGCTTTTAGGTGTTCCGGTCGAAAGTAAATCCAAATACACACTTCGGATGCATGAAGTTTTGAAATTTTATTTTCATTTTGTATTAAACTTGACGTTCTACCTAAAAATCACTTGAGGTGCATGGTGATTTGCATTAGAATTTATTATTAAACTGTTCAACTCATGCATTGAAAAATTCATAATATAAAAGAAAAAATAAAGCCACAAGCAAACTATGTCATATATATCATATGTCCCTCTGCTTTTTATTTTTCAGTCTTTTGTTTGTGCACGCAAGTGATAGCTATTCATGTAATAAATTCAAAGGTAAAAATTTCAGACTGCATCGAAATCTTTTCCTGAGATATGTTTTATATAAGTTGATGAACAAATTGTCTGATTTTGCAATTTTCCTGGTTGGCTTTAATATATTTTATTGTAGTTACAGAAATTCATTTTATGCACGATTTGCAATTGATGAAAACTTATATTGTTCAAATTGGTGCTCGAATCCTAACGTTTGAAATACTTATTTTATCAAACATTGAAGAGCAATAAACGAAACTGAACACAATAAAAAGGATCCAGATAAGTAAAGAATACCGTTGCGTCAAGAAAACAATCATCACATTGTACATCTTTCTGTCAAATACCGTTATCATAGAAAAATATGTTAGGAAAAACACTGGACAGCGGGCCGGTAGTCTAAGGAACATACAAAATGAAATACAATGAAAAAAGTTATATTCCCTTTACAATAATGACCTACAACAAGAATAAAACCTATCTATAATAGTACGTAAGTAGACCTATTCTTTTGTTTCGCTTCTTCCACTTTCAGTTTAGGTTAATCAGTTTGATCTATTGTCCTAAAACTGGCAATGTGATTTCTCATCATCACTTTTAAATGATTCTTTCAGATTATCTAGGGAATTGTTTGGAAAGGGAAAAATAACGAAAGTCCTTCACTTCATCCTATTCCGATTTTCCTAAGCACTTGGTCAACTGACCAAAGTTACGACAAAAAATCCACAACATATCAAAACAACATAGCACCACAACGTAACTAACGTAAACAAGATTCGACAAAAATACACAAACAGTTCAAACAAAACGCACCACAACGTGAAATGCTAAGTAAATTGGTCTTAGACTTACAAAAGTGTGCCTATGACAAACGGAATAATGAAACCGATAATTTTAGCATACGTTATTATAACTACAACCTCTTTATAATTTCTAAAACCGAAATTTGTAAGAAAAAAAAACATATTTAGCAGTTCCACATGGTTACGATTTCGGGAAAACTCCTGGTAGATATATAAAGGGGAATACGCTGAATGATATTAATAGTTAAATTACTCTTAAATGATTTATTAGTAAAGAATATTATATGGGAAACAGAGAGAAAGATTCCAAGAACAATCACAAACCGTATCTCGAACCATTTTACAAAGACCAAAAGATGATCTGAACGAATCCAGATAAAAGTTTGGTTGAACTCGGCTGATGCAGAAGTAAGGCAGTTCCTGCTTTAATTTACCAGCGACACCCGTCACTTGGCTAAAGATATATACAAAATCATGCTATTAATGGCATTCGATGATGCAATAAACGAGGAAAGCAGAACAGGAATGTGCCAAAGACAAGTGAAACATATTCTCTATGACACAAATATTCCATGACAGTCAAAATGCAACTAATTCATGATTGCATCCGTAAATGACTGAAGTTCTACTATTAAGAACCTTTCGTTCAAACGGTTCCTTGTTCGTCAAATCATTTTCAGAAAAACAAATCTTGGACTATGGTGTAAACTCGGAGATGCGTTGTTCATATGCATCTGCTGCTAGAATTTATGCTATATAAAATGGAAATTTCACAATGGGAAATCAATTGAAGTAATGTTATTTTTTTGTTGAGGAGATAAGTTATCAACCTTCTCTCACCACCATATTCGACAGGTTTATAGAGTTGTGAAGCAGAGGGATTAGACGGCTGTTTGTTGAAACTCGTCCATCAAACGTATCAAAATTTTTATCAAAAATTAAAGCCGTAAGCATCTTTATGTCAGTCTCAAAGTATGGTATGTAAGTCGCATCCTAGAAAGAGATCTTTCTATTAACTATTACCATTGTTAAGGAAATTTAGTCTGACTGTTTCTTTCAAAATGTCTTCAGTTTTGAATGATGGAAATTATGTAAAGCATATATAGAGAGATCAAATATCTGATATTGCACGCAGACAGGAACTTAGCCTGTGTGGATTTAATTTTTTACTACCCACATCTTACTAATATTATCTCTAGATAGATAGGTTTAAAGTTATCCTAAATTCTGGATATGATAGTTAGATGTTACACGTTGTAAATACAGCTGTTTCACAAACTACGCCTCTTTTGTGGAGAAATTAAATATTCATAGATATTTTGTTTTGTTTCCCTACTGGTACCCAGATATATTTTTTATGATTCATCTCGTAGAGACACAACTTGAGAATGTTACCAGTATAAATACACATGGATAGCGACCAAATTGAATTTTGAGGAAGACCCAAAGTGAAGGGAGGGGTAGTACAGAATTTCAGTACAAGTTTAAACTTTTAGAAGTTAGAGGCATATAAATGTTCAAGTATGCCACACAGCCCTACGTTTTGACTTCTGAAATAATTTTTTAGTGCAAATAAACTTTCTATTCTAGGATTTTTTTTTTAACGAAAATTCAAAGTAAAAGTTGCACAGTTTTAGTCGTAAAAGAAGTTCCTATGGGAAATTGCATTGTCTATATTTACAGAAGTGCAACCTATATTGGGTGAAAAAAGAGAACATGTAGAATTTCACCAAATCTGATTATCTTCAGAGATTTTAATGAAATTAATTCAAATATAAAGTTTTATAAATGTTTCATGAAGATTGAGAAAATCCTGGGCATTAAATATGATTACTCAGCATAGGTTTACAGTTTACAGTATGCATAGTTTACCTAAAGCCCTGTATGCGAAGTAAATTCATAAAATATGCATACCCTTACTGAAAAATCAGCCTTCTGGCGAACTGTTGCGGTATATTTGCCGCACACACAGCGGTAAGGTTGCTGCAAATAGTTTGAGGCGACATTTTACCATGCAAATGAAGGTTGCGGCAGACTTGCCGCAAAGTTTGATAGCCTTACATAGTTTATAGCAAACTTCTAGCGACTATTTGTGGTGAACCTCTGGTGAACTTTGATAGTCTTATACAGTTTGTTGGGAACTTCTGGCAAATCAAATATGCTAACCATGCTTTGTGGCAACTTTTCTGTTAATTCTTTTTCAAAAGTGTACGTCCCATTCAAAACATGCAGATAGGGATCACAATTTAAATTGTATTATATGACCAATAATTGTTATTTACCTGTTGATCAAAATTTCATTTTTAAAGAAATGTGAAAGAGAGAAATATAAATTGTGACCACAAAAAAAAAAAAAAAAAAAAAAAAAAAAAACAGAAAACTAAATATATATTATATGTATAGAGGTATAGATGTATGTATATCTATTAATTCACTCAGTGCAGAATTCACAATGAGCTAATTAATTTCTCAACAGATTCATATGTATGAAAAAATCAAGAACAAAACTGTTTTTATAATGGTCAATTATAAAGAAACTGGGGTTTAGGCATCCTTTCAGATATGTGTTATTTAATTTATTATACTGAATATTCTGTTATTACTGTCTATTAAATTTCAAATTCAAAGTAATAAACTATGTCGTCTTGTACATAACAATCATCCGTATTTATTTAAGCGCACCCTTGAGCAAGCGTCTCCGTGAAGGTTAATAGAGTATTTTCCATGGGATAGAGTAAATTGTCTCCCTCGTATTAACCAATCAAAATCTGGCATTTTGACATGAAGTATAATAGAATCAAATAACTCCTCTCTTTTTTTTTAAAAATGTCACATTCAGTTAGAATGTTTCATTTTTACAATTACATGACAGTAAGCAAATGTAAATCCGGATCCGGATATTTTGCTTACGCCGACTCGGGTTGTTTTTCAACACTCCATGAAAATGAAACTAAATTTGTTCAAGCGAAGAAATAGGTTAGTCATAAAAATATTACTTATTACATAAATTACAGTTTAAGTTACCGCATATATCGTGATTTTAACATAAACATTTATTGCTGCGTTTTGCATGTGATCAACTGAAACTCAATACCCATAGGGCTTTCGCACCCAGACGTTTTAAAAAATACTATGACGTGGTACAAAATTGTGGATGTGGCATAAAATATATGAATAACCAGAGGTAATTTGCTCCAACGCATGTGCATCTTGATTTCAGCTGCTTTGTCCAAATAAATAGGAAAAAGACAAAATCTCAGAAGAATTTGCAGTCAAATACCCGCAATTAGAATTGGGTGTAAATTCAAACGAAATGAAACAAAAACTAACGTGATATATATTGGGATGAAAATACACTGTGATCCCGGATTATGCAGCATGAGATCTTTTTCATTAAATAATAAAACCATGTCAGATATCTGAAAATACCAAGCCACCAAATTTGATATTTGAAGTAAGACGTTTTGTGGACAGGTTCACTCAATAGATTTGGAAACTTTGGGGTCCTCGCGATTTTTTTGTTTTTATGTCAGACACCTTGACGAGAACGTAAGTGTACTTGTAAAATGAGAATTAATGAAGGACAACTATAAAAACTTTTAATTTTTTGTTTGGCAATTAATACAGTACTTGTTTAATATAGCAAAATTTGGTTAGAAATCTAGTTATGTTACTCAATTTTTGATTATTTATCAATGAATATAACTAATATTGATTACAGAATTCTTCTTATTTCTGGATTTGATGAGCCTGGATATATATATATGGCTTGTGGCGGTGGTTGTTGTTGTAATTACGTGCGCTATCAGGTCGGTATCGTGTGTATTAACATTTTATATCACTTTAAAAAAAAAATAGTATGAACTAGTTGCAGAGATTTGTGATCCTCAGACTTAATGTGTTATTCTTAAAATTTTTATCCATTCTTAAAATGCACTCATCCTTTTTAACATTTTGAAGTATGGGTTCCAAATTGCAACTGAAGAAGTTTCAAAAATTTAAAAACTGAATAAATACTTGGTGCTTACATGTAACTATTGTTATATGGTTTTTTATCCTGTTAAATCGTTCAAAACTTTAAGGATAGGTAATTCTTTTATTTGTTACAGATAAATATGGACAATGTCACAAAAATAAATTTATAGATATAGATAATTATTATCTGTTTACCTTAGACTGCATATGTATATAAGTCGACTGTTCCATTTATCCAGGTTTATATTTAACCTTTAAGATATCGGATGTTATTCATTTGTCTGTTATAACAAACATTTGTCAAAGGTACTTGTTGACAAAATTGCCCCCACTTCCTTTTTATATCTTTAGTTGTTCTTTTATGTAATTTTTAATTGCATGTTTGGCTAGAAGGTACCAAATGGTAGCAAAAAATAAATGCATAAAAAAAAGTTAAAAACAAACAACAGTAAAAAGAGACGAACCAAATAAAGACAATAGTCGAAGACCTACAATTCATAATTGACAAACAAAATCTAACGATTGAGCAAACGAAACCCAATATAAGCCAGGTTGACCACAGGTTCTAAAAAACGAGGTTCCAGTCCAACTAGTGACACCCATAATGTTGCACGTGATCCGTACAAACCGAAAATAAGTTATAATCAGAAATAAGGTATGTCGCTGAAAAGGGGACGGTGGCTATCTATTGGTGGATTATTTGGTTCTTTAACAAAATGAGCCATTTCTTGCAGAACAAAAAAAAAGGTCCTGCATCTTTACTGAAATTATTATTACACTGTCAAATCATCAAGCAAATCATTGTTGCTTAATGATATGGCGAGGTAATAATAATAATTCAAATAAAGAACAAACAATTTATTTCTTAATTAAAAACGAGTTTCACATGTTATCCAGCAAAACACATTTGCTTTATCTCTTTAAGGTAAAAAAGTGTAAAAATTTCTTTTTCTGTTTTCTTTAAAGAAGTTATGTTTTTTTTCTATCTATCAGGTTTAACATGATGACGTCAAAAACTCTCTGCGAAGCTTGTGATTTCAGGGGTATCAAACAAGAAGCACTGGTGTGGTGTCATGATTGTGAAGAGGCTTTTTGTTCAAACTGTGCAGAACACCATAGCAGCGCTAGGAAAACACGAGAACATATGGTCATATCAATGGATAATTACTCGAAACTACCTCCTATCATCAGGAAATTGAGCTCACACTGCGAACAACATAACGCACAGTTTCAGAATTACTGCATTATTCATGAGCAGTTATGTTGTAGAAAGTGTATCGATCCTTTACACAGTCGCTGTACTAGTCTGCCAGCTGTTGATGATTTCCTGAAAGATACCAAAAGATCATTTTTGACTGAGCAGTTGTCAGAGGGTTTCAAAGATATTCATTCTTTTTGTGAACATATGGTCAAAGAAAAGACACAGAACTTAAGAGAGCTTCACTTTGAAAGCAATCGAATTGAAAACAGAATCAAGCAGATGCGAAAACAGTTAGATATTATAGAAGCACAACGGAAAACTGCTTTATCAAACCATAAATCAAATATCAATAAAGTTGTCGAACAACTCACTGAACACCTTCAATATGCCGGAGAATTTAATGACAGTTTATCTTTTATCACAGAAAATGCATCCAATATTCAGGTGTTTTTAGCGTCGAAAAAGTTTGAACAGGACTTGCAGAAAGCAGAGGAATCTGTCACTTCTCTACAAACACGAGGCGCTTTGAGTAATGTTGTTTTCTGTTTAGATGATATTATGGTTAAGAATATAGATAGGAGTGATATCAAACTTGGTTCTTTTTCTGTAAAAACTTTACAAGCAAGTAAAACGTATGTTAAACGAAAAACCAAGGAAATACAAATGTTCATGGTTACACGAAAACCTACAATCAACAGTGTCAAACTTACTTTACTACGAAAATTATCATTACCAGATGGCATGAGTGTAACGGGGTGTTTATTACTACCTAGAGGGGGTATTATTATCACAGGTGATTTCTATGTTGTATTTCTAGATTCAAACGGTAGTGTGAATAAGAAACTGCAGCTAAGAATGGCGTACGATGTCACGTGTATAGATGATAACAGGATTGCAGTCACTGATGATGCCGAAATAACATTCATTGATAGGAAACAAAAAGAAGTTATTAAACGCGTACGAGCTGAAGGTTACTGTTTTGGTATTTCACATTCTAATGGATCGATTATCTATACAACGGATAAATCTAAAGTCAAGAAAATGGATTTGCACACAGATGTTATTAGTACGCTAAATGTAGGAGACCCGATCTTTCAGTCTTATGTAGTAGGATCTGAAAATAAGATTTTCTATTCGAACTGGCAGGAACACACTGTTATCTGTTACGATATTAATGGTTCTGCTCTTTGGAAATTCAAGGACGAAACTGTTCTGCGAAATCCAAGCGGAATATCAGTCGACAAAAATTATAATGTTTTCGTGGCCGGGCTAAATTCTAACAACGTCGTCATTATCTCACATAATGGCAATCAGTTCAAACAAATACCATTGGATGGAGATGGTATAAGCAATCCAAGGGCGATAAGTCTCGATAAAGAAAATAAATTGATGTTAGTTTGCTCAGAGAGATCACGCGGTGCAATTTATAAAATTGAATAAACACTTTGCTGGTCGTCATATATCAATGCCTTTACATTATTTTGTATTTGATTATGTTATTCTATTTTATATATGATTGCAGTATACATTTTTGTAAATTGTTTTTACCATGGTATAAACCAAAATCAAGGATAAGCTGATCCAACAAATACACACCACCACCCTGAATCCGCCACTGCCTTGTTCTAAGTGATTACATCATTGGACAGGAATATATATCTAAATATCAACTATATATTTGAGCACCAAGTACTGTAAACCAACTAATTTTCGTAAGCGGTTTATTTTCGCAAGTTTCGCATGTAGAAATATAACGCGAATATAAATCGTCGCGAATATGTAAAACTTGGGTCTTTCCTTATCTAACTACATCAAGTAAATTAGAAAATCGCGCAATTTAATCGCCATGAAGTGGACTAGAAAGGGCTAAACGCGAAATAAAGTATCCTCGAAAATAAGTTGGTTAAAAGTATCTTAAAACGAAGATCAAATTGTAAATGTATCAATCAAAAACAACAGAGACGCCATCAACATGTAAATACCAGAGTGACATTTCTCTGAGATATCCGAAAATGCAATGGAAGTGATAATTCACTTTGCAAACGGTCCATATATATTTGTGTCAGTGCGGTTTTGTTTTCAGAAATTAGAAATGAAAAACGACAGAATTTTTGTTTCTTCGTGTTTTTGATATCTTAAGAAAAAAAAAACGAAAATCACAATTAAATTCAATTTCTCTTTTCAACTCTGAAATTTGTCAATCGAAAAGTGAACATTATTTTTAATTTTTTTCATAGAAATCGAACGGAAAATGAGACAACATTATGTATGTAGCATTGCAATATTACACGCATATTCAGGACAATAATATGTTATATGATATATAGATAACATCCAAATTAAAACCACTAGTTGACACTTAAAGTCAGGGTTAAGCAGACCCTCTTATTAGTCAGAAGGAAACAGTTCAAACTATGACCAATCTTTAAAAAATGCTAATGTTTCGCAACTTTTTTACTCGGGTAAGCTTAATCTGTAATAAACATAGCGATTTCAAAGATATTTCAATTAGATTGAAGACTATCTCCTGTTTGCCAGAATAGCAAGAAAGACAGAAATGATTCAATAAAATGCCAAAATCTGTATTGCGCGAACAAACAAAAACAAATTATCATACTCCTCTTAACCACCATCCGTTTCACTGTCGCATTGGCATGAAGGACAAACAACAATAATCTTTCTACCCAGAGTTTTCATGCCTAATATTGTACTTAAAGCACTGCAGACTTTCTGCAAAAATAAAAAAAAAACACTACTCAAGGCTTCTTTTGTTGAAAACAACACATGGTGAGAAAGACTAATAGAGGGATGGGTCGTTCACAAAAAATATCATTTATGCTACCCTGCTATCCAAATTTTTACAAATGGCTTCATATTATCCAAAAATTAGATGGAAATTGAAAAACTGCCTCCGTAGACGCAAAAGTCTTAAAGAATCGTCAGATCTGATTTCCCGTTAATCTAAGATCTTTGTCAACAGCTGGTTCTAGTAAGGGATATGAGAACAAAAGAATTTTAAAACATTAGCATCAGATAATATCATAGAGGAAATGATGTACTTTTTGTAAGTTCATGTTCCAAGTGCTTTAATGTGGGATTAGGGTGGAGATCGGCTTTTGTGACATTTATTTCAAAAGGACGATGCAGTGTATATAAAAACGGATTTTTTGGAATAAATCTGGCAAGTTTCACTGGAGTTTATTTCACATTTTTTATTCATAATTGTAATCAAGAAGAACAAATTCTGCTTGTTTTGAAATTCAACAAATAATGTTCAGTCTCGCACTTATTTGTTAATTTTATTTTAATCAGCAATATGTATGTTATACTAAACACAGTATTGCTAGTATGCATAACCAGTGAAATTTAAATGCCTGTTCCAATAAAACAGATAAGTTCAAAACTTGTCAATTGCAATGAATTTTTGCGTATTCTCTTGTCCAATGACCATTTGTAAAAGATGAAAGATAAACTTCTTGTATAGTTTATGAATTAACTTTAAAGAGAATTATAGTACGAGTATACATTTTACAAAAGTTTGTGTCACTAGTGTTAGACGATGAACAGTTGTTATGGTCATCAATCCTGATTAGAATTAAACGAAGAGAACTCTCCCAAAGATAAAAAAAAAAAAAAAAACATCTCCCGAATTTCTTAAATTTTACTTACAGATATATAATAATTGATGATGTCTGTCACTCAATGACCCACATTTCAGTGAGTGTTTGTATTCAGATTATGTCAGATAATTCGAGATTTAGGATACTTCCAAAACTAGAAGGTTTGTTGTATGGATTGAACTTTCCTCAAATTGACACAAATGGACGACTTCAAAACGTGATCATTTCTAATCCATTAATAGGTTTGAAAATTTAATGATTTATTTCAAAATTTAAAACAAGTATTATCAAGGTAAGTTTTTATAAGTGATTTATTTTTTTTCTTTGTTTAATATAATAAAACCTACAATGTACATATGTTGGAAATATCACGCAGATGTATTAGCATTTGTATTTTTAAAATTATTTTTATAGTTTTTCATTTTTCATTTGCCTCTACCTCTTTGCATCCACTACCTTACAAATTTTCATAATTTATACATTTTTTATTTATTTTCAAGATTGAAAACATGTGTTATTATGTTATATAAAAATAAAAAGATGTGGTATAATTGCCAATGAGACAACTCTCCACCAGAGACAAAAATGACATTGAAATTAACACTTATAGGTCACCGTAAGGCCTTCAACAATTAACAAATCCCATATTGCATAGTCACATATAAAAGGCCCCGAAATGACAAATGCAAAACAATTCAAACGAGAAAACGTACGGCCTGATCTATTTAAAAAAAGACAAATGAACGAAATACCAATATATAATATGCAGCAACAAACGACAACCATTGCTTACGGGCTCCGGACTTGGGACAGGCACATACAGAATGTGGCGGGTTTAAACATGTTAGCGGGCGCCCAACCCTCCCCTAATCCTGGGACAGTGGTGCAATAACAGAACAACACAAGAACTACATTAAAAAAAACCAAAAAAAAAACCCAAAAAACCGCCAACATATTCAACAGCAACAAATAACAACTCAATTACATGCTCCTGACTTGGAACATGCACATTTAGAATTTGGCGGGGTTAAATATGTAAGCGGGCGCCCAACTTTCCCCAAACTTGGGAAGTTCTTTAGTATCTATCAGTACACATTCGACATCCAAATCTAGTGACAAGACGTCATTAACTGTCAGAGATAAACATGACATTGTACAAAGCCAAAATACAGGTATCGACAGATTGTAGAACCGTGAATGTGCATATGTATATAACAAAAAATATTAGTTTGTTTGTAATTGACTAATAACAAAATCAATATGTATCCCAATGAAAACAATATTTTAAGATCTAATCACAGTGTTGAATTGGTAACCTTTCAGAATAAGATTATTTAAAGGATCGATCAGTTTACCCGGATCATATCTAAATATGGTCATAAACTGTGATTCATAACAGTACAAGTAATAGCTTTTCTAAAAAGCTTGCCGTATTTTAGCTGCTTATATTGAGTTCGGTGGTTTGTGGGTATAGGTTTTTTTTATTGGAATCTTGCACTCCAAGCATTAGAATATATAGTGTTTTTTTCCCCTGGTTTTTTTCTATTTTAGTTGTAGTATTGGTGAATCAGGGTTATCATTGAAGGAGGCTTGATAGTCACATATGATAATATATATATATATATATATATATATATATATATATATATATATATGGTTTGTAATAGCTAGAGTAACGATACAAACACTTTTTTCTTTGTTTTGTGGAATATGATTGTTTACTCTTTATGACAATGCAAGTAGTTTAACATGCATACTGTGTCTTGACAGTTATGTAATAGTTAGCAAGGTTATAATAATCAAGTTGATAAGAAAAACGTATTATTTACTTTTGAGGATTACTGTTGACAAAATGGACTACCAATGGCAGATCTAGAAATTTTCATAAGAGGGGCGTGCTCCAGTCATGCTTCAGTGATTCATTACATGTATATGATCAACCAAAGTTTTCCCACAAAAGGGGGGGGGGGGGTGGGGTCCCCTGAAAAACTCTCTAAATCCGCCTCTGACTACTATAGATGGCCGTTCAAATATGAGAATATTACATCTTATATGTATAGAAGACAGTGGTCTCTTTAGCCCAAAATAGAAGGGCGCCGCACCCTGGGTGCCCTTAGCCACGCCCTGGGTGTCTTCAATTGTGCCCCTCCCTGACGCCTTTTTCCAAGGGGGGAGAATAGTAAGTTTATTTTGCTTCTTTTGGTTAATAGTGATCTGATGTATGAATGTGTATTGCCATGTTTTATGAACATGTAGTATGAATGACTTTTCTAATGCGAATTTTATAGAATAAATAATCAAAACAACAACTTATGCATCTTTACTAACAACATATACAGTAAAAAAAAAGTGAACTCGTGATACACACAGAAACGTAGACATAAGAAATGAGAAGTGCCTTTTCCTATCATAAAAAAGTGCCCTGCCCTTCACTGACACCCTGCTCCTTTCTATTTCTAGCTGGAGTACTTCAAGTGATGAATATCTCATCTGGCTTTTGTCTTAGAAGAAGCAATTAGTTTTGAAGGTACAGGTTAAGCGTTGTTATTACTTATTTCCAGATGTAGTATAACTGTAAGAAGATGTTTTGTGGTAATGGATTTGGAATGAAATATTAATTGCAAATAATTTTCTAGAACATGTTGTCAGCTGGCTTCTTATATTTTTTATTATTTTGTTGCGGTTTGTAATCTTGACATTTTTTTGTAAGTTCTATAGATGAGCGCTTCATATTGGTATTATCATTTAGTGCTTTATATTTGGTTGCATGTGTAAGCATATGCTTTTGTTAGTTGGAATATTTATATTTTCATTTCTGATGGCAACAAGTTCATGTAATACATATAGTCAGGATTATTAGTAAGCGATAGTTGTTTTGTTTGTTTATGTTTATTGTCATGATTGAT